TATCCTAAAGCTTAGCCTATTCTTAGGCTACAAAAATTACAGCGAGCACAAAATAATACCAAAACACTACCATAAAATTTTTAGTGCTAAAGCTTTTACTATTTTGCGACAAAAATTCCTACAATTATTACCCTAATAATATTAAGTATTTCCAATTGATTTAATAGACCTCAGTTTTATCACAGATATGTTTGAAATAATTATACTAACAGATAGATAAAGAATTTAAGAGCCTAACAAAATTGGTTTCACGATTTTTGGACACCTATATGAATTGTTGTTAATTATCAAAGTTCAGCACAGAAACTAAAATATAAGGCTATTTCTATTTTCTAATAAAAGGGAAAATAAATTTACCAGCGTGGCCCACAACCACACGGACACGGCCCACTTGCACGCGATGCGCGAGCGCATGCACACAGGCCGGCCAGCGGCGGGAGGGAACCCGCGCGTGTGGCGCTTTTGCAAAAATGTCATTGCTCTTTCTAGTATTAACGCAGCTCTTATGCGCCCTGTTCCTACAGTCGGCCCTTATGCCGATAGGCCCTAGCCCTAACCCATCTTTACATCCGTCCGGTCCCCGACGCCCTCGTGCTCGCTGACGCGGCATCGGCTGGCACAGGGCTGCCACACCGGCCAACCAGGAGCCCCTCCGACGGACCTAGGAGGTTGATCCTCACCTACGGGATGACACGCAACTTCGGGCAGTGGTTGGACGAGGTGGAACACAGTAGAATGGCCTCTCCACGACGACGGCCACCCTGCGGCAGCGGTAGCCAAGTTTCGGTGAGCTACAACCTTTTGGAAGTGGTAGAAACAACTGGTGAGCACCAATGACTCCCCACGAACCTACCCGTGGCGATGGCTTGGTCGGAGATGCCCCGAGCGAGACTGGCCGCGTGCGCGTGACAAGTTCGACGACAGGTCATGGTGGCGCGGCCGCATCAGCGACGTAGAGATGGTGGTAGGAATGAGGCTTTGGTGCGCATGGCGATGAAGGGTTCTATATGGGGCTAGCGGCGCAGTCAGTCTGGCTTGAGATGGCGAGGTGGAAGCTATCCACGGTGAGGCGAGCTAGGCCTTAATGTTGCGGTGGCAGAAGCAAAACTCCAAAATTGGAGCTCGGCCTAGCAGCAATCAAGGCAGGGAGGGGGCGGTCGGCAAGAGGACGTAAAGGCAGAGACGCGGGCATGAGGAATTGATGAGAGGTGCTCACTCTCTGGCTCACCGTGACCATGACTCGATGGCGGTAGAAAGCAGATGCGCAGCGGGGGAAAAAAGGGCGGCGGGTGCGGTCAGTGGTTCGGCTGGCGCTTGCCTTGGTGGGGCACGGTTGTCGTGGCCGAGGGACCTACGTCCAAGCATGAGGGGACGAGCGTGAGTGTTCACGACCGGCCATGTCCCGCGCGCCACAGCACCATTAATGGTGTGACGACGGCGTGCACGGCCACGTGCGGACAGCACCCAACCGGGCCAAGGAGGGGGCAGCGCGATGCAGCGAGCAGACGCGAGTGCGGGAGTGACACGACGGCAGCGACTGCGATAGCGATTGTGTCACGACGCGTGACATGGAGGGCAGCAGCAGCATCAGAGGTAGCCGCGGTGGTAGTGGCGATCGGGCGTAGAGTGGGCCGGTGGGGCACGGCGGCCTACGACTGGCTGCAAGCGGTGCGGCTAGAGCGGCCAAGCCGTGGCCAGGCCACGGCCAGACCAAGGGTAGCCTCGGATGGCTGGTGTGCGGCCACGCACACGCGCTCAAGGCACAGCCGCACAGCGACGCAGAACGAACATGCGTGGTGACCACACGCCCGAGCCCGGTGGCCCAAGACTGAGTACGCGCACGAATTTTAAAGCGCCCGTAAAAACTAAACGATTCAATTTAGAACCAAGCCATCTTCACTACTCTAAAGAGGGCACCTTAGGCTATCAACAAGAGCTACAACACGACATCCCTTCTTAACTCAATTTCACAGAATAATTTGCCAAACAGGGCTTTGTCACGCTGCTGCTCACCTTAGGAATTTTTCTGTCTTGAGCTAGATTTGTTTTCAAGTTTCGTTTCTAAACTATTAGAAATACTAGCTAGTAACATTATTTTTCTACAGCAAGAGTTGCATTGTTATCTACAAAGTTTGTACTTTAAACTTTATTTAGGTCTCATATATAGGTTCTATAGTAATTTTTGTTCAATAAAAATTAGTTTACACCCATACTTGTTAACTGTACGAATCATGGAGCAACTTTCATTTCGCATTTTTGTTAATCGTTTTAGTTGCAATGCATTATCTACTCACTTCACCACATGCATTAACACACAAGTATGATTGTCGGGTTCATAAACCCGGGGTCCCTCATGGACCTGCTTCCCAGCAAAAGCTCAGCCCAGCAGACAACGTTGCGAACGACGCGCAACTCCTAGGCTGGCCCAAAAAACCTCACACCAGGCCAAAAGGGCGATCCTGGCTCACTTCCAACTCTGGCCCACCTCTCTGACCGAAAGGCCTGGCTAAGGAGGAACGGCGCTCGCTTCCGACCCCGGCCCGCCTCTCTGACCGAAAGGCCTGGCCAAGGAGGAACGACACTCGCTTTTGACTCTAGCCCGCCTCTCCGACTGGAAGGCCTGGCCAGCCCGCCTCCGACTCTGGCCTGCCTCTCCGACCGGAAGGCCTGGCCGATGTTTATAGCTTTTCTCCGACTGGCGCAATCAGAACCAACTAGGACCAATTGACCGGGGACGCCCGCTCGGTGAGGACCCAGGAAACGAGCGGAGCAAGAAAGGCACGCTCAAGTCAACCGCAATACAAAGCACCGTACCATATACACCTGCAGTACAGTACCGACAGGGCATGTCAGAAGGGTGCCCTACCACCCTCCAGGCATGTTAGAGCCTCAACCGTGTTGTGGGCACCGACGTTTGCCCTACAGTGTTGTAGGCGCCCTCAACTCCCATACTAGGCGAACACGATAAGACCCCCCGCATGCCTCTACGCATCAACAGTATGGTAGGCGCCGACATGTGCCATATCAGGAGAAGACAACGGAACCTCCCACATACATCTAACATTAACAGTGTTGTGGACGCCTACAATCATCATTGTACCCGACGGCATGGGCAACAAGACTTAATAGCATACGTAAACTCTCCATCTCTCGCTTGTAAGGCCATCCCCTTCATCTATAAAAGGGGATTCACTCTCTCCCAATGAGGAGGATCAATCTGACAGATACACAGACGACAACTCCAACAAGAGCACACGCTCAAATACTTAGCGCACGTAGGAGCTCCCGTCTCTCTCGGCCCTTCGGCCCAAAGTCCGACCGGGCCTCTTGCATCCCCATCTTTCTCCCTCTCGTTTGTAACCCCACAGCAAACTTCGAGCACCTGAGCTCAGAAATAAAGTCACCGATCGATTCAAACTGGACGTAGGGCACGTTGTCTGAACCAGTATAAACCCTGTGTCATTGAGTGCTAGGCCACATCTGATCACAACGTATGGCCAAACTACAAATATTTACGTGTTGGTCACTTTCTGCACCGACAATGATGCTCATGACTTGTTTTAGTAGATGATTAACGGTGTAACACCGAGGGTGTTACAAGTTGCTACAATGTTAACTCCTCACAAGTACTTGCGTACAAATCAAGAGTCTATATTTTGAATTGAATAAGTTGGTATCCAAATACCCATCCATATTGACTTAATCATCATGGGGCTTATAGCTTTCACCCTGTCATGAGCGGTTGAAAGACAACAGCTAGATAGAGTGCTTGTTCTCGCATCCTTTGCTTGGTATGATCTTCTAAAGTTTTTTTTATAAATTTTGCAAATAAAAAAAACTTAAGTTCCTCAAATAGAACTCTCAAATCTCTTAACGGTGTATGTATTCTCACCAAAAGGCCATAGTATTCAACCTCAACATTCTATCATAGAACGCCTAGATCAATAGGTCACCACCTATAGACCGGTTAGCGCATTTTTCTATCCTTGGACTAAACACAAAATATAGGAAATTCAGAGTGTGTGTGTGGGGGGGGGGGTGTTTCAAAACTGGACTAATCCGGTATGCACAACAGTGCACACCCATAACTAAATTATTCTATTTTTCAATTCTACTTTATATCCTTTGTTGCTGTGGTTTTCCAAAAGATGTTTTATGATTGTTGGATTTTATTCGTCTTGGCCTAACTTTAAATCAAATAAATGTAGGGCTCATAATAGATACTAGTACAATGGAGATTGACTCAAGTTAAATAAATGAATGTTGTGTGTACTTGTCGTGAGTTTAAGAAAGATGGAAGACGAGATGCTCACACGCGCGTCGCGATGTGAACGGGCGGTGCCAAGCCATGACACAATTGGTGTGGTGCCAATGTAGACTCTGCAGTTTCAAATTCAAAGCGAGAAAGTTAAGAGTAATCGGCGGACAAAAGAGGGAGTGAGAACAGGAGAAAGAATTATCTGTTCTTTTATATGATATATGTAAATATGTAATAGTAAGGGCATGTTTGGATGCTATGAGCTAATTACTGGCTAGTTAATTTAATTTAACTTAAATTTGCTCAAGTACATCAAAAAAGAAGGACTAATAGGTGGGCTAATTTTTATTTGCCAGTCTTCAAACTAGTTTTTACCCAATTAGCTAGTCAACTGCAGCTGATTTAGACCAATTTTTAGCTTCAATATTGAATTTTGCATGATCAAACTACTGTAGACCGCGCAATGATAGAAAGAACAGTCTTGGTCAGTAACAGTCATGGTCTGTTGTTACATTGGCCAAAAAACGCGAGCATGATGCAGCAGCATGTAGTATGTAGCTAGTTCTGCTTTAGTGCTTATTCTTTAGTCATATCATCACCGTGCCCGCCCCATGCTTGTGCTATCGTCATCAGTGGAAGAACTCCGTCAACCAATGGCCCTCGAGATTTGCAGCCTGCCAGCCTCCACCTCAAGAAGACAAGAACGGCATACGTACGACGCCCGACGGCCGGCCGGTGATGGTCATGCGTAAGCCGGCGGGGATGTGACCTGACCTGCCGCTCCCTCCTCGTCGTCGCTGCTCCTCCCGTCCACCTTGCCGCTCCCGTAGCGGCTCGCGCACACGAGGTACACCGCGAAGTCCGCGACGGCCAGCACGGCGAGCAGGAAGTAGAACTTGTCGAGGTGGCCCTCGTTGAGGTCAGCCGGGATCCAGCCGGACCGCCCTCGCGTTGTGGTGAGCCTGGTGACCGCGCTCACGATGACGTCACTGAAGTAGTTGCCGAGCGACATGGACATCATGCAGAGCGCGCTCCCGAAGCTTTTGAGCCCGTCGGGCATCTGGCCGTTGAAGAACTCGAGCTGGCCGACGTACATCATCACCTCCGACACGCCGATCAGCGCGTACTGCGGCACCTGCCACATGATATGCAGGTCGCTGCTCATCGCCGCGGCGGCCCTGGCCTTCCGGAAGTGCTCGACCGTCCCGGCCGTGGCCATGGCCAGAGCACCCACGACCAGGCCGAGGCCCATCCTCTGCAGCTCGGTGGGGCCGGCCGGGCGGCCAGTGAGCCGCGCCAGGAACGGGCAGATGGCGCGGCGGTACAGGAAAATCGTGGTGGCGACGGTGAGGATGTCGAAGGCCGACATGCTGGAGGGCGGGACGGAGAAGCCGGAGAACGGGGTGGTGCGGCGCATCGCGGCGCCCTGCACGACAAACAGCGAGGCCATCTGGGTGAAGACGACGGAGTAGAGGATGGTGCAGAGCCAGATGGGGAGGAGCCTCAGGATGCTCTTGACCTCCTCCACCTGTGTCACGGTGCACAGCTTCCAGGGGTCGCGCGCGCCGACGCCGAGCTTGGAGTCCGTGTCCGCGTGCGCCGCGCGGTCCAAGAAACTGCATGGCAGGCGGTTCGAGTCAGATTGCATTGGTCCGTGCACGGCGGCCGAGATCAGTTCGTCGTGCATAGTAGTATCTGCACCTGCACCTGCACCTGCACGTACCTGAACCCTTGCGTGTGCAGAAGCTTCCTGCCACTGGCATCCGCCTTCTCGTCGCCCTCGTACAGGCAAACCACTCCGGTCGACGCGCCCGCCTTCCAGTTCCTGCACGCGGCGATGGCGACCTGGCAAATCCTCCCGATCGGGTTCCTCCGGGCTGGAAATAGCGGTACCGGAGCGTCCCGCTGAGGAAAAGCAGGAGCGCGGCGGCGGCGGCGGCGGTGGAGGCCCAGAAGCCGAGCGCCCAGCTGCCCTTGTCCTCGAGGTAGCTGAGGAAGGTGTTGGAGAAGAGCGAGCCGAGGTTGAGCGCGAGGTAGAAGTAGCTGAAGAAGGAGACCTTGGAGTGCGCCTCGGCGAGGTCGTCCTCGTCGAACTGGTCGGCGCCCAGGGTAGCGATGTTGGGCTGGTACCCGCCGTTGCCGAAGGCGATCATGTAGAGCGCGATGTAGAAGATCCCCAGCTCCTTGCCGGAGTGCGGGCCGCAGGGCGCGTGCTCCATGCCGCACCCGTCCGGCCTGATTAGGTAGAGGCGCGACGACACCGACAGCAGCGCGAGGCCCTGCAGCAAGCAAGCGTGACAGCCACTAGTCAGCCGGCCGTGGAATCTTTGATCGATGTACGTGTGGAGTGCGTGGTAGTACACAACAATGATCAGCCTGATCGCTTGATCTTGGCTTATCAGTCAACGAATAATATTTTTCTCTCACACTAAATCAGCCAACAATACTTTTGATCATGACTTATAAGCTAAACCAGCCCAAACAACAAGATGGATGTATTTGGTTCATGCATGGATCCGCATTCCCGCCACCGTGCACAAACTCTATGAACCGTCCACTTCAGCTTTCCATGCGGACGAACGAAATGGATACTGTGCGTGCTTTATACGGATGATTGTAGCCTTTGTATTGTAGGTACATACAAAGAACATGTGTGTTTGCTTGCACGTGTACATCACAGGAACCAATGAATCCTGTAGCAAAAGCTTAGGCACGGACAAAAGTAGAAACAGGGGAACGCCGGTATATAGAGCCGTACGTCGTCGCTGGCAACGTGAAAACTCTTTCCGACACACGCTGATCGGTAGATTGGTGGCAGATCTATGGAGTACTCTTTCTGACACACGAAAATCGGTAGATTGGCAGGTCGATGAACGTATATATATATAAATCTAGGTGTAGACGTGTGCGACTTACGAGCACAAAGATGGCCTGGAAGATGGCGCAGGTCTTGTAGCGTCCCCAGTAGGAGTCGCTGAGGAAGGCGCCGATGAGGGAGAACATGTACACGGTGCCCGTCCACTTGCTGACGTTGTTGGCGGCGTCGCCATTGCTCTGCCCCAGCACCCGCGTCAGGAACAGCACCAGGTTCACGTTCACGCCGAAGAAGGCCAGCGTCGCCAGGCCCTGGTTCACTGCAGCACCACATACAAAAAAACCCACCACCGTCAGCACGTCGATTTCCACTACAATCTTCCTCCTTTTTTTCCCCCAAACGAAATCGATTTCCACTGATCATCAACAAGCCTTTCCACGACGTGTCAAGTAAGGCCGGTCTGATGGCTAATCGACAGACGTCAGCGTACACACATAGTACCGGCAAAAAGGTGATCGACAAGCACCCACAAACAGTATGGGGAAACTCGGCTTTCGGCACTCCCCATTGAAAGCAATGCAGAACCGGCCGGACAGCCAAAGCACATCGATCGATCGCTTTAGTTTTAGTAGCAAAGCTATTGAGAGTACTAGCTTATGGCAGCCACACATCACTGCTAGCTACAGACGGTACAGATCGATTGCTAGATAGATCATGGCGGACCTCCATCCCCTAATGATCACCCTATCTAGCTAAAATGTGGCGCTAGTAATGCGTCCAAGCAGCCTTCCCGTGACCAGGAACCCCCCAGTTCCGGGCGTTGCATGGCCGATGTCACCTCGGCATGCAGAATCACGCATAAACAAAAGGACCGGCGCCTTGTTCACTTTGCAAATTTTCGCAACCTGATGAATAGTACCACTTTCGTCTTATTTGGTAAATATTATTCAATCGTGGACCAACTAGGCTCAAAAGATTCATCTCGTGATTTCCAACTAAACTGTGTAATTAGTTATTTTTTTTACCTATATTTAATACTCCATGCAAGCGACTAAAAATTGATGTGATGGAAAGAGAGTGAAAAAACTTGGAATTTGAATGGCATTTAAACAAGGCCCGGGTGTCTGCCGCCACTTCGAGGAGCAGCACTTCAGAGTGACTCGCGCATTCATGACGTTTCAAGAGGTAACCGGAGGCCCACGACGTAAAAAAAAACTCTTCTTTAACTTCCTTTCGGTAGCTTGATTTTGTGTGGACAAAACTAGGGCAGGAAAGGTTGAACAGCAGAATGATACCAAGGATTAGAGCACCGGCAAGCCATCCTCCCGATCTCCCCTTGACCGCCGGCCGGCCCTTGATGTCGACGGAGCCGTCGAGCGTGTACTCGCAGCACTTGTCCTGCTTCGGCGTCGGCGCGCTCATCTCCCCTCCTTCCACGACGATCGCCCTCATCTTCATGTCGCCGTCGTTCGCAGACTGCAACCATCGATCGAGCGACATACTGTTAGTTGACAGTGTCACTCTACTACAAGCTCTCTCCTATAAATGTTCCATGCATCAATGAAACCTAGCTATTCCGGGAATTTCAGGGAAAATAAACTGCTTGTAGCATGTGTGCTGGTGCGAAGGAGATGATACGCGAATCAACACACAAGAACGATGATGGAGAAATTAATAACAGAGTATATACGCACTAACCATTTCTTCCCTCCTCACTAGCTACTCGATAGATGGCCTCTACTGACGTATGTATGCAACGCGAGAAGCCGAGGCAGCTAGCTGTGCTTGTGTGATCGAGGAGACTAGGCGAGAGGAACGAAGGGGATGGCAATGGTGGTGGAACGAGGGAGGGGGGGTTGGTGCGATTTATAGAGCTCAGAAAGGGGCCGAGCAGTATAGTGTGGCTTACAGCTGATGTGCAGAACAAAAGGGTGGGAGCCGGTGTGCACGTCTTGCTCACGCGATGTCACTCGTGCAGGTATCTTAGGTAGATGCATCACACTGAGGCATCGCCATCAGCGGTGACCATCGCCCATCTCTTTCCCGTATTATTAATTTTCTCCATATTTCTTGGTGGTTTTTGCCTTGTCCGCAGAGAGCCCCATTATTTTATCACGCAAGGAATTCAGCCTGTTCTTGGTAAATCCCTGCACGCTTTACTCAACCCCTGCTGGTCGTCGGGCGTTTTCTTCAGACGTGAGCATGCTCGATCGGTTTCAGTAGTACTAATCCTTAGCAGTGGCCGTAGTAGCTTGGCACTTTTTCTAGCTAGTACCGTCAGCGGTCAGCCTGTGGTTCAGCTATAAGCGAGACGCCGTATAGCGCCGCGATTCGTTTTCTGCCGGTCATCAGTTTCCTTGAGCGAGATGAATCGTATCGCTTCGCCCGCGAAAAGTGGCAAGAAGCGCGCGTCAAAGACGTGTGTGCCTTGTGGCCCTCGCACCAGGAGATCGAGGTGTTCTGCATTCGGCGGCGGGGCATTGTTTTGTCATGCATGGCCTCATGGGTCATCAACAAGGCAAAAGGCAGGCATTCCTCCATATGGTCACGTCTGACTGTCTTATTGAGTATAAACCAAGGCCTAGCCAAGGAAATCTCGTTGCTTGCTCCTAAATGTGTGCTGTTTCTTTTTGTCCAAATTATTACTAGGTATATAGTCCGTGTGAACTGAATGTAGTTTGTTCTAGGGTATATATTGTATATGGCAAATGTCCAATAATGTGCCGTGCATCGTCAAAGAATTGGTTCCAGAATGCATGATTCTGTGCGAAGAATAAAATCATCTTCAGTTCTTGGATCATGTTATGTTGTTTATTTATCCCTCTTTCCTCAATCATGTACCGAGAGACAGTTAATATTCCTGAATTATTTAAGCGCCTTTCCTTCAGATAACAATTATTCAAGCACCTGATACTGATCATATTCAGGTGGCCTCATGCATTGGATATCTGGATCATATTCAGGTGGCCTCATATTCAGGGGGTGCATGATCGCCCAGGCGTGACAGACACAGGTATCGCTCTCGCACCGCATTAGGCGGACTGTAGATCATCATGGATCAGGCAGACTCAGGCTGATTCAGCACATTTACCGCCATCCATAAGTTTAACTCGTGGACGAGCGCGGGGCGCTGCTCGGTGTCGGAGGTTGCGTCGACACCCGTGGACTGGCTGCCGATTCGGCACCGGTTATACCAGTAAACCTGAGCTCGTGCACTTGTCGCTCTCGGCGCTAGCGGGGGCGCGGCAGCGATTCGCCGGTGGCGCTCCGGCCTGCTGGCCCTCCTCTGCCGATTTCAGGGAGCAGTGCGGGGACTGACTACCGAGCGAGCCTGCGACGGCGCTGTGGCCTGTGGCTCACAGGGTCACAGTGCCCGTGTGTTTTACAGCTCAACGTGGGCTCGCCTCTCCCGTTGGCCACTACTGTTGGCTGCGATCAGGTTGGCGGCACACGCGCGCGGGCCGCGGGGGTCCGGTCAGCAATGATGTGGCGCATGTCCTGGTCTGACTGTAGGGGGTTGCTTGCTTCCAACTCCTCAACTTTAGTTGTTATCCTATCGGATGTTTAACACATACATGGAGTATTAAATATAAACTATTTACAAAACTAAATGTATAGATTGAGACCGTTTTACAAGACTAATTTTTAAGCCTAATTAGGCTATGATTTGACAATGTAGTGCTACAGTAACATGTGCTAATGACGGATTAATTATTCTTAATAAATTTATCTTGCGGATTACTGACGGATTCTATAATTTATTTTTTATCAATATCGAACACCACATACGACATCCTATGTGACATCCGACGTGACATCTATTAAACTTTAGATCCTATATCAAACACTCCGTTAGTCGCCACCCGCTGTCAGATCTTCCCTTCTGTCTTCTCGCGGTGTCCACTCGCAGTTGGAGTGCGCAAGCGGATTCAGTTGTTTACAGCAAAGCATAAGATTAGTTATAGAATATATTTTTATAATAAATTTATTTGAAGATATAAATGCTAATAATATTTGCTATAAACTTTTACTTTTAAAAAAAATTATTATAAAGTCGGTTAAATTTGAGCTTCTTTGATCACCACGCATCGTATAACTGTACTCTCGTGCGGATGGAGGTAGTACTAGCCAACTAGCACTCGTAGCCTGCCGTACATATCGCCGAACTAAAGGAGACCGGAGACATGAATTTTATTCGTTAATTAGTGGCATTAGTAGCCTGTTTTGTACCACGTGTTTGGTAGAGCGGTGGAGAGAAGAGTTCCATTGACAAGCTGTACAATCAGAGTAAAAACGCGATCACGAGAAGTAAATATGTCCTAGTTTCTGTATATTCGTACAAATAGTAACTGTGGGAGAAGCATGGGGTCTGGGCAAAACCAAGGTTCGGTGAATAATCGGCCTTCCAATCCCAGTCCTGAACCTAGCTTGGGCAAATGGGCAGAGTTGGTGCTATGACAGTATGACTATTAGCCTCCTTTAGCTCAGCCTCTCCATAAGCTTTTTCGAGATGAGGAGAGAATTATTTTAAAACTCCACATCATACATCTCTAAATTATATATATATAAAAATCTAAAATAAAAACAATATTCTATCTAAATCCTTCTATCATCTTCTTCTCTAGGGATTTGCATTGGTTGACACCGTCAATGCTGTAGGTAACAGAGATCCGTCAAGCGCCGAAGCTAGAGTGCAGTCCTCGTATCGAATTCACATATCAATCGTAAAACATTGGATAAGGTGTAACATTCAACATTTCCGGAACTAGTCCAAAAGTATTTGAATCGATGAAGTAACATTGTCAGTTCGTGCGTATTCGAGAAAAAAATGAATCACTAGATATAACACAGGCCGCAGGTTTAGCACCATTAATCCTTGGTCCATCAAGTTGGATGCCTGATTTTCTCCTCGTGTCACATAGATAGTTAAATATCCCTGCGGAGAGTGCCCATGAGCACTCCTGCTCTTTGCAAATATTAAATACAAACTAATCTCTTGCATGGAATCAACTCCTACAATGTTGATCTCGTCGTAGCCATCATCAAAGTCATTGTAGGTAACAAGCTTTTTATGATTTTGCCGGTAGATTTATTTACACTAAATTTAAACACACTAAATCTGGACAACTATAACAAGAAATGAAGTCTCCTCTTATCGTTATCACCGGCTGTGTCACCGGGGAGGAAAAAAGAGGGCCTAAGCGGCGCCTAGGAGGCTAGGACGCACCGGCGACCCCGTAGCCTGGGCTCTTCCTTGGTTCGTGTAATCGTGTTAGCCTCTCTACAAGGTACCACGTCCATCATCAGTTAAGCTATGAAATTCACGATAAGTCATTGTGTGACGTCAGTGCAGTTATTGTGACAAGCACTGAGAAAAATATCTATAGGTATCTCCTTAATTAATTTATTTTTCATATATCAGTCGATTTCACCAAAATACTACGGAGCAGACAACGCTAGTCAACCTGCAACAGAAAAGATCAAGGAGAAATTATATTGAAACTCTACATAGGGCATCCCTAAATTACTTATAAAAAACCTAAAATAGAAAATAAGCCAACTGAATGAATGAAAATCAGGTGAGGAGCTCTCTGCCGTCCCCCGTCGACTTATATAAAAAAAGCAATATTGTATCCTAATCTTTCCATTCATCTTGTTCCGTAGTGGTTTTGGTTGACACAGACAATACTCCAACCCCAAGTAATATAATTATGTCGAACATCGAAGTCAGAGTGTAGTTCTCATGTCAAATCCACGCACCAACAATGTAAACCTTGGACATGCCGCAGATAGGTACGTGTTCGGATGCCAATAAAAAAATAAATTACATAATCTATCGGTACTCCACAAGACGAATTTATTAAGCCTAATTAACTCATCATTAGCATATGTTTACTGTAGCACTATATTATCAAATCATGGACTAATTAGGTTTAAAAGATCTATCTCATAAATTAATCATAAGTTGTGCAATTAGTTTTGTAATTAATTTATATTTAATATTCTATACATATATCAAATATCCGATGGCACAACTACTGCAATTAGTACGAAAACCAAACACCCCTACATCGATGAAATACATTGGCGGTCAAATCACCGGGTACAGCAGAGGCTACACAGATTCAGCATCTTCACCCCCAAGTTGGACACTTCGTGAGATGTAGGGCCTAGAGTTAATGTCTCCGTGGACAAGTGCTCCATAAACACCCTTGTCCCTTGCTGATAGTGAGCACAAACTAACCTTAAAATCAACTCCTACACGATGGTGACCTTGTCATAGCCATCGTTGAAATCACCGCAAGTAACAAGATTTCGGCTTAGCATCAATGATAATTTTGCCGGTGACTTTATTTAGACTAAACTTAAATAAATTAAATTTTAAAACTATTTAATAACTATAAGTAAGGGATAAATCCTCTCTCGTTCTTGCCACCAGCGATCCACCGGAGAGAAAG